AGGGGGAAGCCATAACCGAAGAGAGCGGTACGAAGGAAATGCCAATCAACAGTATCATAAGCTTTTTGGATGTCAACCTTGAAGGCACAGCGGGGAGGGCCCCGATGCTTATGATAGCCACGCATGAGCTCCTGAATGAGAAGAACGTTGTCCGTGATGAGCCGACCCGGGATGAACGCAGACTGGTTGACATCAACCAGAGAGGAAAGATGGTCTTTGATCCGATCCGCGATAATCTTGCTAATGATTTTATACACGACATTACAGCAAGCAATGGGGTGGAAGTCGGTGACCCGAGACGGGGCAGCAGACTTAGGAATGAGCGCAAGGTTAGTGCTGTTTATAGACTTAAGGAGCTTACCAGACGTGAAGAACTCACGAACGGCAGAGCACAGGTCCTTGCCAACGATATCCCAAACAGCCTTGAAAAATTTAGCGGTGAACCCATCAGGACCAGGCGCCTTGTCATCCCCAATCTGGAAAAGGGCCTTCTTGATCTCGGAATCGGAAATGGGCACGAGCATCGAAGCAGCCTGATCAACATTAAGCTTATTAGAGAAGAGGAAAGCGGGATCACGGATGGGGAGAGAAGGATGAGGAGTCCCAAGAAAATTCTGGAAGTGGGAGACAAAAAGATCAGGAACCTCCTCCTTTGAGATCCAGAGACCGTCAGCATTTTGGATGGTGTCAATATTATTCCGGCTGATACGGCTCTTAACCGATTTATGGAAGAACGTAGAGTTTTTATCTCCCTCACGGAGCCAATGGATTTTAGCTTTTTGCTTCAGGAACCTTTCCTCATCAAGGCAGGCACTATTATAGGCAGATAAATACCCACAGTGCTCCTCACGGAGGTCCACGTTTTCAGGGTCCCTATCAAGGGCAGTCTGGACCCTGTCGAGCTCAAGACGGATTCTAGTGACATTAGAGAACAGGTTACCCTGATCTTTGAGGAGCTTACGGATAGGGCCTTTGAGATTTTTAAGGTTTAGGAATACCTTATACATCTCATAGCCAGATAGGTCAGGGCTCCAGCTCGAGGCCACGACAGAATAGAAAGCCTCTTTATGAGTAAGGAAATTGGGGAATTTGAATGGTTTGGGTTTACGAGGAGACCGAGATGGAAGCGTAAGAATCGCCGGGCTATGATCCGAAGAACGGTAGGGGAGAAAGACAACAGAAGCAGAAGGGAAAAGGGCAAGGGAATGAGAATTGCCCAAGACACGGTCAATCTTTTTAAGAAGACCTCCCGTACCCTTGGGGTTTTTAGTCCAAGTGAAAAACAGACCCTTGAAATTGACATCCTCCACCTCAAGGTGTCGGACACATTGACGAAAATCATCCATACCACGATTAGGGCCCGAGATGCCAGAAGAGCTGTCCTTAGGGTCAAGGGCAACATTGAAATCACCCATGATAAACCATGGGGTGTCCTTAACGACATGCTTATGGCCCTTAAGAGAGGCCCATAACTGGCGACGGGCGATATGGTAATTATCCGCATAAACAACAGAAAGGAAAAGAGTCTTAGAGGAGTCATGGATCTTAACCTGAAAATGCATCACCTGATCGGTGGCATTTAGAAGCATCATGTCAACATGGACGGGGTTCCATGCAACAATGATACGAGTGCCTCTAAGGCACAGGGAGCCATTAGAAGCCCAGGTCCAAGACCCAAAAACACGCTCACAGATAGAAGGAAGAGAAGACACAGAAGCACGCGACTC